TGGTACAAAGCATTCATGACTCTGCACAAAGCAATAACTATTCTGACGCTCTGGTACACTGCATCAATGACACACTGCATCAATGACACACTACATCAATGACACCCTGCACAAAGCAATAACTTTTTTGACGCTCTGATATAAAGCATTCATGCCTCTGCACAAAGCAATAACTTTTCTGACGCTCTGATACAAAACCGTTCCGGATGCAAAATTAACACACCAAGAGTGAATCCAGAATGGACCGTTCTAGTTCCAGATGCATGACAAAAATTTGACATCCACGTGGTATTTATGTAACTTCCACGTAGTATCCACGTGGCTAACAGTTAACTCTATCTAAATAATTTGGACGGAAGTCCGACATTGCAACCAATTAATTTATTAGGGACCAAATTGAGACCAAAAATAAAAATGAAACTAAATTAAAACAAATAATTATTATAAATGACTAAAATAGGTTTTTAGCCATGCTGAATGCTTTACGTGCAATTTTTTTAACTATATTTTCCCTTCTCTTACACAGCGTATTATATTTAATTTGAATTATTTATAGTGTATGCTTAATGCTTTTAATGAATTATGGTTATATGAGATAATCATTCTTTTATCATAACAAAAACGAATCAAAATCAAATCAGGTGACTACATCCTGATATCAAATAAATTTAAATTTAATAATTATTTACCGATTTTTTTTTCACTTTTAGCTGATTAAAAAATTAAAAATATCTTTTATATAATTATACTAATATATAAAGGGATACTTTTTAATAACTACCTTGATCTCCACATTTTATTAATAATTATACTTTTCTATTTTAAAAAATTAAAAAAATATTTTTAATGAAATTCAAGAACATGAAAGTAATAGACTAATCATAATAAATATACTTTTGTTACTTAATTTTTTTTTATTTTATCCTTAATAGAGGTACTCTCATTTTTACTTTTATTTTATTCTTAATAGAGGCAAAAAGTGTCTTGATCCTATTAGTTTTTAAGATAATAATAATTATTTTTTACATCAATATAATAATTATTATTTAAATTCAATAATTCAATACCCATTTGTGATTAAATAATAATATAAAATCTTTTTCATCACCTATTACATTATATTTATGTATCTTTATCTTTTAATTTCACAAATATATTAATGTTTATTTTATATAATTATAATTTATAATGCAAAATTTATGTTGTAATATAAAAATATTATTCATTGTCGATGTTTTTATAAAATATTAAAATTTTATTAAAAAAATATATAAAATAAAAATGATAAATTGAAAGAGATGAGAATTTGAATTTTTTTAGATTTATTAGATAAAATAAAGATTAAGTTATACTTTTCATAACTTATCTTAATTTTATAGATTTATTTTAGTTTTATATCTGATTATTTTTAAAATATTTAATTAAATTTCATAAATTTTTATATAAAATACACGTTACAAGTTTTAACTTTTAAGTCGTGATTTAATTAAAAATTAATTTAAAATTATATCACAAAATTAAAAATATTTATTATTTTAAAAAGGTAAAATTGAATCAAATATTAAAAAATTTTAAAAAAATTAAGATATTAAAAATAAAATAAATATAAAAATAAT